GGGGGGGGGGGGGGGGGGGGGGGAGACAAGACAGCTTACTTGATTCAGCTTCCTATGATGTCTTCTTCTTTCTCTAGCTCAAATTTTATGATCGTTCTTTCTTCTCCTCTGTTTCTTCGGTAGAGTAACATTATTATAAGCTTAACAGGGGCTTTCTACTTGCAGCAAATACTTAACTATTTCACATACAAAGCTGTGAAGACAGTTCTAAATCAGCTTTATGAGATGAACCCTACCCAATACAGATGGTTTTATGAGTAAGTGAAGCCTTTCGCTTGAGTTTTTACGAACTTAATTCATCAACACTGCCAATATAAATGCTTAGATTATCCTCAACAGTGTTCAGAACATATTCTATTTCCCAACCTAATCTTGAATTTCATTTTTTCTACATCAACAGCTTTGTTGTAAATCACAAGCCCAGGGATGGGAAGCGTTTCATCCGAACCCTTGTAAAGGTAGAAGTAAAGAAATCTCTAGTTTTTTGTACATCCAACTTGAACCTAGCTCACTTGATTAACACATCATATCTTCAAGGATATGAAATAATTGAGTATTGAACAATAAGATATTTGATGTGTATGTGTTTGATTAACAGGAGAAACAGGATTTGGCTGAGAGAGTGATGATAACAAGGCTTCATCTCTATAACAAATGGGTCAAGGTAAGAGCAAATTTAGTATTTTGAAGACAATTTCTTTGTTGGAGCCATTATAAGAACACATATTCATTGTGATTTGGTGTTATTGCATAGAAATGTGATCACGCTGAAATATACAAAGAGATATCAGACGAAAACTTGGAGTTGATGCGAGAGCGACTAATGGAGACTGTAATATGGCCTTCAGACGACAAGAGCTTTTAGAAGATTGGCTGACTAGGAGCTACTAGATTATTTCTTTTTCCTAATTTCTTTTCCTTTAGTTAACCTCGACCAATCTGGCCATGTCCTTAGTAGTCAATTCTCATTCATATTATTTTTCACCAACTAATAAGAATTCTTATATCCAATGTTTAATAGATTGTCACTGTAAATACTTTCAACATCTTATACATGTTAAAAGTATCGATCTTATTGAATATGTTTCTATAACTTACAAGGTTTCACATTTTGCGCCACTCACAGATAACTCAACAAGTTTAGGCATATACTGTAAAAAAGTTCATGTTCCATGTCAACACCCTTCCATTTGAAAGACAGTCTTTTCTCAATTTCTAAAGCAAAATTATGCAGCCATTACATTGACTATCTTCAAGAGAAATTTTGTGGATCCAACACCATCGTTAAGGTGTTAAAGGTGGTAATCTTTAGTAAAGGGTGTTGGTTCATGGTTGTTGATTTAGAACTCTTTCAGTGAAATAACTTAAGGAATACATATTTCACATGGACGGTCATATATCAGATCATAATTTGTACCAGCAAGTAGAATGGCTAGTTTATACACGATAAACCAACACGCCCATAAATAAGGTAGGATAATGAGACGAAGAAAACAAAGTATACATACCGGTTCGGTTCTTGGAGGAATCTAGATCTTGTTGTTGGTGGAACCAGGCAAGTGACTAAATCAGACAGTTGGAGATTGCAACGAAGAATGCAGCAAGAACAGTCCACAGTGTACAGCCCTTATGCACTACCAGGTGCTCTTGTAAGACACCTCGGGAAAGATCAGAGAATATCGATCTGCGCCAACAATTCTCTCACAAAGGGAAACTAATTTCAGTTGACTGGATTCCTGAAAAAACAGAATCTTTGTAAGATAAAGTAAATGTGCTTACAAGTACTAACAGTTAAAGGATATTTGGATAGTAATGGCTCTGTTACATGGGAATACTCTCCTGGAGCTAGCCGAGTAGATATCTTCCTTTTAGGATTAGCAGAGCAAACCATGAGCATAATGTAAGGCGTGAACCTCGACATATGAATTTTCTTTACAGCCTCTTCTACATATATGCACGCACATAAAATCAAGTCTGGGTGGATGACAGAAAAATCCTAAATTTCAGCCCATATCTTGGATCAATGATGTCAAAGAATTCAAATTTTCGTAAATTTCTTCTGATTGAGGGTGTGATACGTCAGTTGCAGTGAAATAGTGGACCTGACTTCCGATTACAATCCAGCTAGTTCCTGGAGGCTTCACTAGACCTTTATCTCTAAGCCACTTTCTTATCTGTGAAACCTCTGACCAAAGACCTGCTGCTGCGTAGATATTTGAAAGCAAAACAAAATTCCCTGGATTGCTTGGTTCTAATTCAACAAGCTTTCTAAAGATGGTTTCGACTAGTTTTTTATTGCTTTTAACCTGACATGAACTGAGCAAAGCTCTCCAAATTGATGCATCAGGCTCAACGGGCATTGAGCTGATGAGAGCTATAGCTTCAGCAAAATGGCCCCCACGACCAAGCAGATCAACTATACAACCATAGTGAGCAAGTTGAGGAGCAATACCAAAGTCCCGCACCATGGAACTAAAAAGCTGCAAACCGGTCTTGGTCAGACCAGAATGGCTGCAGGCAGATAAAACAGATACAAAAGATATATTGTTTGGCTTGAAACCATCATCCAACATCTGTGCAAAGGCTAGAGTAGCATCGTGTCCACGACCGTGCATGCCATACCCTGTTATCATGGCATTCCATGAGACAATATTTCTTGCCTTCAGGGTGCTAAAAATCTTTTCTGCATATTGCATTTTACCACATCGTGCATACATAGTTATAAAAGCATTTGCTAGAGAAGCATCCAATTCAAAAGATTCTCCCCTTCTAGTTGTGTAAGCATGCAAGCACTGTCCTAGTGGTAGATGGGCAAGCTGGGTACAAGATGTGAGAATACTTATGATTGTCACGGAGTTAGGCTCCAGCTCAGAAATCATATGGTTAAAAAGTAATAGAGCTTTTCCTGCATTGTCATTCTTTATATAGCTCGAAATTAGGGAATTCCATGAAACTAAATCTCTTTGAGGACATCTAATAAACAGATTTGTAGCCGATCCTTCATCTCTACAGTTTATGTACATTTCAGTCAGTGAAGTGTTCAAAGAAGTATTTATTTCAAGACCATTTTTTATTGCAAAACCATGGATCGATCGCCCAAACACCAAATCACTTCCATCTTTACATAATGCAAGGAGAGATATCATTGTGTATGAATTGAACTTGATTTCTGATTCACACATCGTCATAAAGAGTTCAAATGCTTTGGCTCGAAACTTACTCCGAGCAAGTGCTAATATCATTGTGTTACAGGAGATGACGTCCAAACCTCTCATCTTATCAAAAAGTTTCTGTGCAGCATCAATTTGATTGTGCTCAACATACATGCTTAACAATGCATTGCCCAGAAATACATCTAGTTCCATTCCACTTTTCATGGCATGAGCATGTAAGCCTCTACCCCAAATAGAACCATCATTTAGATCTTCGCATAAAGACAGCATAATCTCAACGGTTCTTTTGTCTTCTTTTAAGCCTTCCAAACGCATTTTAATATACAAAGCTATAGCTTCAGCATGAAATCCGAAGGCAATGTATGCAGATATCATAGAATTCCATAAGGCGGCATCAGAGGTGGGAACGGCATTAAACAACGCACATGATGACTCCAGACGTCCATTATCACTATACATATTCAACAGTGCATTTAATACGAACAAGTCACCAATGAAATTGAACTTGATAGCCAACTGATGCAGTTGCATGCCTAATTGGAGAGACTCAGATTCTGCACAGGCTTGAATAACCAGCAGCATTGTAACAGCATCAAACTTTATACCCTCAGTCAGCATACTACTAAAAAGCTTCAAAGCTTTTGTGTAATCTCCAATATTGAGATATCCGGTTATCATTGCATTCCAACTCACTACATTTCTCACCTCCATCGAGCTAAAAACTCGGTGAGAAACTGTTGCATCAAATCTCATATAAAATCCTATCAAAGCAGTACCAACATGTGCATCCATATCAAACAACCCATTTCTCAAACAATAACCATGAATCTCATGTCCTAATCGCAGTTCCAACATCTCAGCACAAGCCAAAAGCAGAGGCACTACAGTACGAGAATTGGGTGTGAGGCCTGCCTTTTGCATCTCTATAAACAACAACACTGCTTCTTTATAGCAGGAACAGCCCACATATCCCGAAATCAATGCATTCCACGACACCAAATCTCTTTCAGGCATTTCATCGAACACTTTACTGGCCTCTCCAACAAGCCCACATTTACTATAGAAATCGACCAAGGCAGTCCCAACCCGAACATCTCTGATCAAATCCGAATCCCTAATACAAGAATGAATTCGTACCCCTTTTTCAATGGCGTTGAGCCTCCCGCAAGCCTTTAGAACAAGAGGCATTGTAGCAGAATCGGGTGCAATACCAAGAGACTCCATCTGGGTATATGTAGAAAGAATGGCATGGTCATTCTTAAGCTTGGTTTGGTGCTTTATAATCAAGTTCCAGTCCTTTGAGACATTGATGGCTTGTTTAGGAGTCGGAGAGCGTCCGTGAATGCTTAGGGTGGCTGAAATCTCCATCGACAAAGAGCCACGAACATTTGGCGCGGGGGAGCAAGGAAGTTAAAAGGATAAAGTAAACGATCAACTGATCAACGCTTTTGAAGTGAAGTTGGGGAAAATTATTTAATTATGGGTTAAATTACAATTTCATTTACTGTTAATAAAAAAATAAAAAAAAGATTATAAACTATCTAATCTAATAGAAATTAAATTTCTAGTATTTTTAATATTTTATATCTTGATATTAACCCTTTAATTTCACACAAAATTTAAAAATTTAAAAATGAAAATAAATAATTTAAACAAACTTGACGGTATAGTTTGGGTGAAACAATTTCTTTATGATTGTTTTTAAATTTTAAGTTGCACTAAAATTAATTTAAAATATTTTTAATAATGATTAGAATATGAATATGATTTAATTATTTTTAACATCACGTAACACAATCTATAAATAAAAATGATTATTTATATTTAAGAAGAAAATCAAACACTTTTTAATGAGCTTGGAACAAATAGTTTCAAAGTAAAAGGAATGCATATAAAAAACTTACATAAAATTTAAAACAAATTTCAGTTATTACACTGATACATTCTCAGAACTGCCATTTACAACTACAAAACACTGAAACATCTACTTTCTTGTCGTATACGTGCAAGAACAGGCAGCCATCTCTCTTCTGTACATGAACTCGAAGCTTTTCACAATTTTAAGGTTTTATGCTTGGATGTCCTGATGCAAAACCCTGTGTATGGAGGTATGTCTTTGGAGATAAATTACATGGTGATTCTGTAAAAGAAACGTCACCGATCAGCTTATCGATGTTCAACGAACAAACTCTATCCTAGCTCCGGAGGAAATACCAAGGGCCTGTTCCAGTGCCTACCCTGTAAATGAATCCAGGTGCTGTTAAAAAACATTGGTCTTTTGTAATGGCTACTGTAACACGTTTGGTTAGATGAAAAGGGCAAAATTTCAACGTACCTCCAGAATCCGGCTAGCGTTCGTAGGCTCATGTAGATAGTTAAGGCGACCCAGATGCCGATGAATCTTTGAGTTGCAGAGAGAATGAACAAACAGAAAATGCTGATTATAGCCACCAGAACCTGGAGAGAGTTTGAAAGGTTGGACAATGAGAGTTGTTCATCATTTACCTCATCTACAATTCTTTCCCTTCTCTTTTGGGCCTATAAGTTTATATGCTTCGATGTTGTCCTCTTTGGGCTTTCCATCAAAGTTTAAAAACGCGTCTGATAGGGAGAGGTTTCCGCCCGGTGTCTGGCTCTGATACCATTTGTAACAGTCCAAGCCCACCGCTAGCAAATATTGTCCTCTTTAAACTTCCCCTCAAAATTTTAAAACACATCTGATAGGGAGAGGTTTTCAAACCCTTATAAGGAATCCCACAAAGGTTTCCAAACCCAATGTGGATCTCACAGTTTTGTTGTTAGATCCCAACCAAGTCCAGATTATGGGACACTAACCAGCCACTATAGTTATTTTTTGCATCATTGCTCCATGGTGCCTTTTCCTATAGGGAATGAATATTGAGGACGAACTCACCAAGGAGTAAGCTGAGTATGCAAAATCAGAAGCTCCAAAGTTGACACCATCAAAAACAAATGCCAAGGCGTTGATTGGTTGCATAGCAGCAACAAACTACACCAATTAAAAGCAAATTCAGTTTTGGTTTCTGTTCAATATTGAAGTGAGTAAATAACTTTCTTATAGCTTTGCCTTAGCAAGCAGACAAGATGTCATACTGGAATTCCTACGCCAATAAGGTGGAGAACGTCGACATCACTTGTAAATAACTTCGCTCCAAATGTCATCCCAACTCCAAGGAAGACTGCGAGTATCAATCCCAGAAACAATCCCAGCTGCAGTATAGTTTACTATGTAATTATAGGGAAAATGCATTTATTAAAAGTGATTAGATCTGTAAACAAATGATTAAGAACCTGTAATACTCTAGATGCTGCAGCCGTCGCCTTATTCCGGTCGTTTTGGGCAAAGGCACTTGCTAGTATTGCCTGAAGAAACTTACGAACACTTAACTTCAGTACAAGTTTATTAAATGAAAGGAACTTAGAAATCTTTTCCAAACCTGCCCAGCAACAGCTAGTCCATCGGCAAGTAGAGACGTTGTCAACCAAACCTGCAAGCAGACCTGAAATGCAGCCATTGATGTCGATCCCTGACGTGCAGCCAATGACCCAGCAAGGGTCACACAGAAAGTCACAGCAATAACTCTCATTAACAATAGAAAACCTGTAGAAAAATGAACACAATCTATTAAATCCTGGAATTTCAGATTGAAGATATCATAGTATAATTCTAAAAACTGCTTTCAGCTAAGATATAAATTGAAGAACCAAGTATTTACAACATGGTTAATCTTTGATTTTGCGTACATGCACACGAATCCCATCCCTTACCATTTTTCAGAAATCGACTAAATTGCAGATGTTTGATACTGGGAGGTAAGAGATCAACGTGTCCCATTAATCTCCAAAAGAGTATCAGTGCAGTTAGGTATCTACAAAACAGAAATAAACGTTAAAAAAAAATAAGCAGAAAATCCTTGGATGTCGTGGAATCAACGTATACCATACAACTTACTGTGATATAACATGTGCAATGGCTGCACCACTGACGCCTAAACGAAAATTGAATATGAATATTGGGTCTAGAATAATGTTTGTTGCATCTCCTGCCACTGAAGCAGAACAAGGGGGAAAATATGAACACAGATAATTCGGAGGTTCGAAAAAGAATGGTTTTGGAAACTCTTTTTGACTTCTTCCTGCTGTTAGATAAGCAGAAGTAGAACTTAGGAATTGTTTTGAAGTATACCAGTTGCATATAAAGGAGTTTTTGTGTCCTTAAATCCACGAAAGATCCCTTGCATGGCCAAGGAGAGAAGAACTGCTGGGGCACCGAGTGACCTCAGTGTCAAGTACTGCAGTGCAGGAGTCATCATCAGAGAATCCTACATTCATGTTATGCAACTAAAATCATGTATAAGAACTGTCTGAAGACATTAATTTACAAAAAACAGACAAAAAATTCTGATTGTTTCACAATAGGAAATACTCACAGACTTGACTCCCATAAAATTTAATAGGGGTCTAGCCCCAGATATCAAGAAGATGGCTTGAACGAGGCCAAGAACACCGCCAATAACCAAAGCCGATGAGGCTGATGGGATATATCTTCTTCCATTCTCAACTTTCCTATCGAATGGCTTTGAATGGTGTGCATCTTTACTTTTCCCTGTCAAGGATAACAAATGAAATCAGATGATGTAAGGTTTAGGACTAAGAAGAAAGTATTCTTATGAATATTTTAGTGTTCAAAATAGGGGAAGGTTTGAATAGTGTATGAGATAAAGCATACCATTTTGTGGGATCATCAATTTTTTATCATCATTTGTAAAGAAACCTCTGTCCATATCGTTATTATCCTCTGCTTCATTAGAAACACTTCCAATTGAATCTTCCTCAGCAACGAAAGATGTGGTGACACTTACAAGCGGGAAAATTGCAACTCTTGAAACTTGATTAAATAAAGCAATAGCAACCCCAACAGCAGCAAGCTCCACCGAACCTGTATCAATGATATAGCAATATGAACACGCTACAAAGTCTTGGGAGAAAGCAATGGAGAAATTATACAAATCCTATTACCACTACTAGCAAAAACTCACACCGTACAAGGGCATGAAAGAAATTAAGAGAGCCCCTACTTACCTATGTGGCCAATGAATGCTGTGTCGACCAGAGAAGCTACTGGATCAGCCGCCAAAGCCAGTGTGGCAGGCAAAGCAATCTGTGCTATTTCCCGACCAAGTTCATCCAACTTACAAACATGCCTGTTCACAAACAGAGAGAACAGTAAAAGAATTACCACGATTGTAAAGAAGAGTCCTTGTGAAAACGTTGAGGATCATAATCCAAATAACCTCAGGCCAAAAAAAAAAAAAAAAAGGAAAGTAAAAGAAATGTTCAGCAGCTTCTTTACTTGGCATCCTTGAAGAAGATACGAATAGGTGTTCTTGTTTTATCCCAATATGAATGAGGGTCATCTTCCTCGGACATGATCGAGAAGGCCATCCCCTGAACTGTTTTTAAATGATCATGGTGCCTATGTTCTCAAGTGACAGGGGCAGATAACTATAGCCCAATTGAAGACGAAAGAAGCTCGAAATCGAATCCCAGAACCTGCAGAATGAACAAAAACGTTGAAACTTCAATTGTTTCAAAACCTAACAATTGATATTAAAGTGGGTTTCAGCAACAAGCGCCAGAAGGAACAACTCATAAAAAAATGAACGAAACCCATTTCATTTACTGCGTCTGCCCGTCAAGCAAGTTAGACCCTAAAATAACTTTTGTCCCAATAACAGTCGTGAAGAATAAGATCAACCATTCAATGTACAAAAAGCCAAAAGCATTCAAATCATTGGACAAAATTTCCTGATTTGTAGACATCACGAACCACAAACCGCTACACAAGAAGAAATTTCAACTGAAAGACTAAACAGAAGAAAGTTCCCAATTGATGAAACAGTCTCACAAAGACATTTCAAGTTGGATACCTCAACTCCGCCGGTGTGGAGAAAGACCCACTTCAAATTCAAAGCGCAGAAGAAAAAGGAGAAGAGGGTCGCTTACTTGGAAGACAAATTTTGAGGTAGTGGAAGGCGAAGAGGGCGAGTTGGTCGGTGAGATGATGGAAAGAACGCAAAGGAAAGTGAGGCATTTTCTAGGGAAGAAATACCCGGCCACTCCGATCACATGCACGTTGGGTCGTTGGCGTTGGCATTGGCATTGGCGGGCAAAAGCCAAGCGGCAAAGAAAAGGGCCTCTTTGTCTTTTACACTAGGGAAAGAACGGTCAGGGTTAGATTCGTCCACCTTGCCAATAATTTGGAATAATTTCCACGCATTATCTAACAATGGTAACTAATTTTAGGTTATTTGGAATTGACCTCCAATCAGATTTTTTTTTTCCTTAAAAATGAATAAAATTTTAATATCTTTTAAAAATGGAATAAATATAATACTTTAATTATTATATTTT